AGCACTGGATTGAGGGGATTTGAGGTTCCTAGGTGCCTCCCACACACTCTGTGACCCTGGACATGGAAATGCCCTTCCTTTTTTCTGGCCCTGATTATTTCAGATGGGGTGTTGGTGGCCTAGATGGATCTATGAAAGATATATGCCAAGGGGTATTCTTATCTACATCCTGTGTAAATAGTGCAGTCTCTTGCAATTCTGGGCTTCTGTCAAATCAGCATCACCATCAAGGGACTTTGGTCTGTGGCTTTGGAAGTTGGATTCCTAACCCTGACCATACCCTTCACCTCTCCCCCCAGCAACCCCAGTCACTCATTTTTTGTTAAATCCCTCTTACGTGTGGCCCCGTGTTAAGAGGGACAGAGGTGAGTGGGTCCTGCGGATCTGCAAAGCACCTAAAACCAGCCCCTTGGTCCCTGCACTGTGCAATCTCTGACAGATAACAGGGACATATGGGTACTTCAGTGGTCAGGGACCTCAGAGAGATGCAGACCCAATAAATGCGCTGACTATTGAGAGGAGAGGGAGAACATTTCTGGCAGATTCATGGAGAAGATGGCTGTGAGCCTGGAAGGATCGATGGGGATGGTCGTAGACTGTTGGGGACCAAGAGCGTCCCGATAAAGCAAACAGTATGGGCAAGACCAGGAGGTGGCAACATGCAGGCACTACCCAGATGGTGGGTTGTCCCTTTACCAGTTGTGGGGGTGAAATATTTCTGAGTGCTACTCATATCCTGGTCAGGTGCTACCACTGCCAACATGTGTTTAATATATTAAATACTCTTATGATAAATATTGATATCATTTTTGACACCCTCTCTTTTAGCCAAGCAGGGATTACAGTCTGCATTTAGTTTGAGGGTGGGCTATCATACCCTCTGCCAAAAAAGATTAGTTTCCTTTGTTGTTTTTAAAAATTTTTTAAGTTTATTTATTTTGAGAGAAAGAGAGAGAGCATGAGCAGGGGAGCGGCAGAGAGAGAGAGAGAGAGAGAGAGAGAGAGAGAGAATCCCACACTGGCTCTGCACTGTCAGCAGAGCCTGATGCAGAGCCCGAACTCATGAACAGCAAGATCATGACTGGAGCTGAAACCAAGAGTCAGATGCGCAACCAACTGAGTTACCCAGGTGCCCCAAATTTAGTTTTGTTTGTTTTTGATAACTCATTCCCCAGCATTCCTTTTTGTGTCCTTTCCTTCCTGGGTCCCTCTGTCCCTATTACTGTCCGGCTCTGTCTCCTGCCCCCTCCCCCCCCCCCACCCTAACACTCCATGCTTGCCCTTTTGCTTCCTTCTCCTTACCCCCTAGGGCCTTGGGGCCAGGCTTCTCCTCTGTTTAAATTCTCTGCCCTGGAGCTGAATTCCCAGGTGCCAGGGTTTCCAGAAGGATCTTCTGGAGACCATGCCCCCATCAAATCCAAGGAGACAACCTCAAGGTGACACCTGGCAGGTTAGCAAGAGGCAGGCAAGCCAATGAGGGAGGCTGGGAAGCAACCCGGGCCGTCCCTCCCCCTGGCCCAGGGCTCTAGAGAAGGGCCTGCAGCCTTACATCTGTCACTCCATGCCTTTGCATTCAGGGCCTGGCTGCCCGTTTGTTCCTGGCTGAAAAGACTTCCTGCAAAGTTCACCCCGCCACGGACCTTCAGCTTTCTCCACCCCTCAAGTGCCCAGAGCTCTTCCGTCAAGCGCACAATGCATGGGAGTGAGAGGAGGGTTTAAAGCAAGGAGACGCTCTTCCCATCCCTCAAGTCTCCTGGATAACAGCCTCCTTCTCTATCGTGAAGAGCCCAGCCCCCAGAACAGGCAGGCCTCAGGGAACTCGGAAGGTCCTTTTTGGCTGTTCCACAGCAGGGCCTGCGGCCCCAGCCCCTCAGCCTCTGACGGAGGGGCCTGGCCGAGGGTTAGGAAGGCCCAGCAACAGCAAAGCATGTTCTAGCTTCTTCCAGTCCTGATTGTCTTCAGGAACTTGGGATTTAGTTCTCCCTCAACCCTTGCCAAGATCAGGGATCTTTGGAACTTATTCTTGTGGCAGGAGGCCTCTCTTTGATGATGGTGTCAAATGAGATGGAATGTGGCCAGGTTGTTATAGGAACTTGGGAGAATCCCTGGAGTGGGAAAACAATGAGAACACGGAGCCATTCACCATTCAGCACTGGAAAGTAGAGCATTCATTGTCCCATGGCAGAGGCTGTGGCGTGGGAGGAAGCAGGCTCGGGGTGGGGGGCTCGCCCGCATCACTATGAGGCTTGTGGCGTGTTGGGAGCACAGAGCAAGGGCTCGACTGAGCTCCGGCTACAAAGACTGAACTTCCCACTTTCTAGCTGTGTGACCTTAGGCAAGTTGAAACAATCAGCCTGATCCCATTTTGTTGGAAAACAAATGCATTACATCTAGAAGGAGAATCATCCTCACTTTTTTTTTTTTTTTTAAACCATCCTCACTTCTTCAGTAGTTACCTCAGTGGTATGTTTATGAGTGATTTAAAATGATCTTTTGTGCTTATCTTTTTTTTTTTCTAACATTTTCTCTAAACAGCATGCATTAATTGGGGCCCCCTCCAATGAAAACCCTCACAAAGCTATCTCTACTTCGGAAACTGGTTCTGGGAAGGGACTCTGGAATCCTGGTGTAGATATACATACATTTGAAACGGTAGGGGAGGTACTTCCCAGCAGTCAGGCTGCTCCTAAGTTAAGAAGTTTCCCTGGCCCCACGATGCCCTGAGTTAGACCAGCGTTGGCCACAGAAACTTCACACACAGGCCCGATGGGTCGGGTGGCCTGGCTGGCTTGTCCGGGCCGGCAGTTAGGCCTGCTGTTGCAGTTCAGGAGGTGGCTGTTCATGTCCTATCCTATGGGACTGCCCGTCAGCTGGCTCAGCAAATACCCCATCTGCCCCACTGGGTGCCCTTCCTGGTGCTGCATCCTGCCTTTAGACCAAGAGGCTTCTGTTGAGGTCTCTCTGCATTCGTGCTCAGCCAGCCTTGTTCTTCAATCAAAAGGGGAATAGGAGCACCCAGGTGGCTCAGGCCCTGAGCGACAGACTCTTGATTTCAGCTCGGGTCATGATCCCAGGATTATGGGATCTAGCCCCACGTCAGGCTCTGGGCTGAGCATGGAACCTGCTTAAGATTCTCTCTGCCTCTGCCCCTTCCCCTGCTCACATTCTCAGTCAATCAATCAATCAATCAATCAGTCAAAATTATAAAAAGTAAAACAGGAGGGCAGCTTCACTGGGCAGCAACCCTGATGTCTGGGTGCCTCATCTGACTTTGACATAGGCTGCCTTCCATGACTGTTATTTGTTTCTTGTTAATTTCTTGAGGTACAGCCTAGATATGATAGAATGCACAAATCCTAAATTTACGGCTTAATGCATTTTGACTTATGTTTATACCCGTATAACCACCACTCAGATGAAAACATTGAATATTTCCATTACCTCAAAGGTTCCCTCATGCCCTTTCCAAGTCAGCACCCTGCCCTCCCCCCCTCCAAAAAAAAAGTAACATGACCTCCACCAGGTTGGTTAGATTAGCTTTTGCCTGTTTTGGAACTTTATACATACTCTTTGGCATCTGACTTCTTTTGCTTTTCATTATGTATTTCAGCTTTCATAAATCACCCCAAAATCTAGTGGCTTAAAATAACAACCCTCGGTTCTTTTGCTCACTGATCTTCCATTTGGGCAGGGCTTACAGGGGATGTTTCATCACCGTTCCATGCAGCATCTGCTAGGGCAGCTTGATGGGGGGCTGGAAAGTCCATTTCAAGATGGGTCACTTGCGTGGTGGGTGAGCTGACCGTCAGCTGATAGCTCAACTGTAGCCACGGGCCATAGCCTCACTTCCCATCCAGGCACGTCTCCCCAGAAGCTGCTCAGACTTCCTTACGGTATGATGGCTGAGTTCCAAGAGAGCAACCATCCCGAGAGAACAATGTCAAAGTGCGAAGCATTTTTAGACATAGCCTCAGAAGTCACGTAGCCTGACCTCAGCCATACTCCATTAGTGGCGGCAGTCACGAAGCCCTGCCCAGGATCAGCAAGAGCAAACATGGACTCTACCTCTTGACCGGCATGTGGAAGTGTTCTAAAAGAGGGTGGGGGGTGGCAGATATTGGAGTGTCCATCTTTGGAAAATCCATTTTGCCACTTTATGTCTGTGAGATTCATTCATGTTGTAACATGTATCTGTAGTTTGCTTTTTACATTGCTGGGTAATATTCCATGTGTGAATATACTACAATTTACCTGTCCAGTCTACTATTGACATTTGGATTGTTTGCAGTTTGGAGCTGTTTTAATAGTGCTGCTATGAATATTCTTAAACAAATATTTTGGTGGGCAAAGGCTGCCTGCCTTCAGTCACTGTTGCTGTCCCTTTAGCTTTTAAGATTTTACAAATGATACAATTCTATCCTTCCTCTTTCCCCCCTCCACCAGTTACTGTAGCCATATGTACTCTAGTATGTAAATCTCTGCTGGTGTTTTTAGACTGTTGAAAAGAAATTCTATGAGTATTATATAAATATGTTCTCTTTATAAAAACTTTCAATATTACAATTAAGATTAAATTTCCTTCTGACACCCCTTGCCAAGTCTGGACCCTTTCCTCTTACCCCAAGGCAACCCCTGTCACTGGTTTGGGGAGTCTCCTTCTAGAGTTTTTTGATGCATTTATACACTAAATATTCTCATAGAAAAATATTGTTTTCTATGTGTGTGTGGGCTTTGTTTGTTTAGTATAATGAATGGCATCATACGATTCTGCAATTCACTTTCTCACTCAAAAAAATATGTTGGAGATGGAATCACATGCAGATCTACTTCACTTTTTTAAACTGTTAAATATTGTTCCCTAGTATTATTATACCACTGTCATTTGGCCATATCCCTGTGGAAGGACATTTAAAGTGTACCCTTCTTTATTGTTTGCAAGTAAAAGAGTTGCAGGAGCCTTGGACCTGTGCCCCTGAATGTCTGTTTTCTTTCCCCTGCAGAGACGTCTCAGAGAGGCTGTGCAGCTGCTGGAGGACTATAAGCATGGGACCCTGCGCCCAGGGGTCACCAATGAACAGGTAACTCTCCTGGAGGTAGAAGGGGAAGGAAGGTGGCAAAGTCGCAACCCTTTCCCTGCATCCAGAACCACCTCCCTTCCCTTCTTTATCCACTGATACTACTGCTACATAGACATGTGGACTTCTGGCTTTTTTTTTTTTTTTTTTTTTTTATTTATTTCTAGGAGAGAGAGAGAGAGACAGCATGAGCAGGGGAGGGTCAAAGAGAGAGGGAGATACAGACTCTGAAATAGGCTCCAGGCTCTGAGCTGGCAGTCAGCACAGAGCCCGACGCGGGGCTCGAACCCACGAACCGTGAGATCATGACCTAAGCGAAAGTCGGACGCTTAACCGACTAAGCCACCCAGGCGCCCCTGGACTTCTGGCTTTTTGAAGGATACAATCAGTTCTCTCCCATCCCCTGGGTCTGGGGGAAAGCATGGAGGCTGATAAGGCAAGAGACACCCAAAGGCAGTAGTTTCCTGGAGCTGATGTGTACATCTTTTCCACGTTCAATGACATCACAGAAGTAACCTGAAATGAGCCACGTGGGAGTATTTACATTATGGAAATTGGCAAATGCTACAAATCGGGACTTTCTTCCCCAAAGAACTGATTTTTAAATATATACTAGCATACCACAACCCAAAAGTTCTTAATACCATCTCTACCTCTTATTACATTCTTTAGTAGCCTTTTGATATTTTCAGTACCTCCTTTCAGTCTGAAGACTGAATCCTTCGATTCCATTCCCCCCCTTGAAGTTTTCCTTTCTGGTGTCCACCTCCTCCAGTCCCAGGCCTTTCTATTGGCATATACTTTAGTTTTGGTGGAACATCTCTTTCAGTAGCTTCCTAAAAGAAGAGTAAATGGGAAGAAAAATTTGAGTCCTTTTATGTCTGAAAATTGTAATTCTTAATGGAATTAAGAATTAAAGCCTTAATGGACAGTTTTGCTGAGGAGAAAATTCTAGGTTGGCAGACATTTTCCTTCAGAACTTTGAAGACATTATTGTCTTCTCACTTTCAGGAAGCTGTTGGAAATCTGATATATTTCATCTCTATTCTTTGCAAGTAACCTGTTTTCCCTTCTTGGAAATGTATAGGATCTTTTAAAATTCATTATTTTGAGTTCCTAGTGACCCTTTTCAATCTGAAGACTCCTGTCTCTCAGTTCTGGCTAATTTTCTTAAACTGTTTTGTTGATAATTTCATCTTATTTTGGAACTCCTATTAGTCAAATACTCAACATCTTAGATTGACACTTAAATGCTCTTATATTTTTTTTTCTCTCTTCTATTTCATCACTTTGTCCTGTATAGCTTTGCAAGAAATTTTCTTGAGTTTATTTTCAACATATCTATTGAAATTTTAAGTTCAGCTAGTATAATTTTTATTTCCAAGAGCTCTTTGATTGTTTCTTTTTAAAAATCTTCTTTTTTGAATGTTTTTATTTATTTTGAGGGAGAGTGCACATGCATACATGCAAGGGAGGTGCAGAGAGAGAGAGAGAGAGAGAGAATCCCAAGCAGACTTCGTGTTGTCAGTGCAGAGCCCAACACAGGGCTTGATTTCAAGAACTGTGAGATCGTGACCTGGACCAAAATCAAGAGTTAGAGGCTTAACCAACTGAACCATCTCAGTACCCCTTAAAATTCTTCTTAATAGAATTCTTTTCCTATTTTGTGAATACAGTAGCCATCTCACGTCTCTGCATTCTGGAAGGCAAGTGGGGGAGGGAGGCTGGAGTCCCAGTATTCACTTTGCAGATTTTTTTATTAATTTCCCTGCGTTGAGTCTTACCTACTTCCATACTCCACTGTGCTGGTGTTCGTTCATAAGTCTGGGATCACTTGGATTTAGTTTCTCCAGAAGACTGATAAACCCCAGCATCTGGGAAACACAGGTGAGGGTGGTAAAAGTCACCTTGCTGTATGGTGAAGACCTTGGGATCTTATTGCTTTGAGGACAGACTTTCGATCAACTCCCTGTGTTTAGTCTTATGATTAGCCCCTTTTTCCTATGGCACCTGGTACCTTCAAGTCCTGAGCTTTGCTGGTGTCTTGAGGCCACGGGACTGGGTCCTTAGGCATGCCTTCCTCAGGCATTTGGGGGATGGTTTCTTCTTCTCTACTGGATAAGTTCCTCAAACTCCACTTATTTTCCATCTGAAAACATGTTGCTGTCCCTCCTCAGCTGTTGTCTCCTCTTCCATTCTTTGGGTGGCCCTGCAGGGCACTGCCCTGGCCTTCTAACACCTTTAGGTTGCAAAGCCCATGCGGAAGCTCTGGGCTGCAACAGGACATACTAGTGCCTAGCTGGCTGTTCCTAGGGTAGGTGACTTCGCCATCAGCTCTCCCCAACCCAATTCATTTAACATGTATTTTGGGGGCACCTGCAGGCTGGTTTTGATGCTGGGGCCTAGGGGAGAGAGGAAGGAAGAAAGTAGATGAAGATCTTGCTTCATGGACCCGCCGAATCTAGGCAATGACTGTGAAAAGCCATGATACTGTGGGAGAGCAGGGGAAGGAGTAACCTGCCCAGACTGTCTGGACAAGATTTCCCACCTGAGATTTGAGGGATGAGAAGGGCCCTGGCCAAGAGAAGGACTGGGTAAGAGGCCATCCAGGTGAGGAAGCACATCATGAGCAGAGACAGCTTTCCCTCCAGGGGAAGTCCGGGACAATGTGCTTGACTGAGCCCTGACCACTTGAAAGGAGGGCAAATATGGGAGCTGATGCAGCACCTTGGCCAGATGCCCTGTGCAGGGCCCTGGGGAGTGGTGGGAGATGGGCCAGTGCCTAGCTAGACAGGGTCTATCTTCAGGCATCTGTGCTGCCATCAGCAGGAAACACAGGCTGTGATCGAATGTTCTGTGAGCACAGTGCTTCCCTCCGGCACGGGCACTGAGGAGCCTGGGGGGCGTGCTCTAAGCCGAAGTAGTCCTTAGACTCTTGCAGTTCCTCTTGGACCTGTCAGGGGTGACTTCAGTCCCCCAGCTCTTCCTCACCCGGCACCTGCTCCCAACCCAAGCTCCCTCTGGCTGAGGTTGGCCTCGTGGGTTGGCCTCCAGCATCCAGTTTGGGGAATGAGGCCATGTTTCTCCTCTTTACTCCCTTCAGTAGCGTAAAGTTGCCTGTCCTATTTGCTGGGCCTCTTTTGTTTTCTGCCCTGAAAGCCCCAATGTGCCTCCAGAGAGCTGAGAAGGGGGTAGGGGGAGAGGGGGATCCTGGCACTAGCCATGCTTCCCAATCCTGGCTCATGTTGGTGATGCCTGCAGTGTCCATCTGGTGGCTGGGTAGCCCAGTGCTCTAGGTGTGAACTTGCTGCTCGGCCCCCTTAATAATCAGATCTTCCCTCTCCCTCCCTTGCCAGTCCTCCTGGCTCTCTGGAGCATCAGGGACTGGGTTCTGTGGCAGCTCTTACAATGCTTCCCTCCCTGGGCCTCATCTACAAAGCCACACCCCCTCTGGCCTCCATGGACAAGAAGAGTGGGTGGGTGATGACATATAAGCCCAGGGTTTGGGGAAGCCTCAGCATTCTCGAGTTAAGGATGACCCCCCACTCCTGGTCTAGGCTGGCCCTGCTCACAAGTCATGTCTAGGCCCAGGGTGGCTCTTGATCTGTCTGGACAGCTGCTTCTTCTGCCCCAGGCTCTGCGCTTGCTCTGACGTCCTTTAGCAGGTGATGCCTGAGGGCCTGTCCTGATGTCGTAGGCAGCACAGGGTAACCTGCTTCCCAGCTTGTTATCTAAACTGGCCTCTCGTTATGACATCTCACCAGTGGGCACACACAAGTGGATTGCTAGTTTTTTCATGCCTGATGGCCTTTGTTTGGTCTTCTGTTGGTGGGTGGCTGATATCTCCTCCAGAGACTGTTAACTTGTTAAAAGGTTGTTATTCCGGTGAAAAATTGGTCCTTACGATAAAATAAAAATAAATATAAATTACCCTGTGGGCTTGACAAGTAGAAACTTGATGTGCAAGGAGCCCTAATAGGGACTGTAGTTATCAGTTAAACAACAAAACCATAGGGGCGCCTGGGTGGCTCAGTCGGTTAGGCATCTGACTTGGCTCAGGCCATGATCTCACGGTTTGTGAGTTCAAGCCCTGCGTTGGGTCTGTGCTGACAGCTGGGAGCTTGGAGCCTGCTTCGGATTCTGCCTCCCGCTCTCTCTCTGCCCCTCCCTCACTTGCTCCTGTCTTTCTCTCCCTCAAAAAATGAATAAACATTAAAAAAAATTTAAAAACAACAACAAAGCCATAGATGAGAGCAAAGGTATAAGCATAGGAAGCTGGACTAGGCTTCTGGATGTTGACTCTGCTGTGGCGCTTCATATACTGGGGTGTTGCTGCCGTGCTTTGGTGTGGATGGAGATGGGTGAGGTTAAACATGAAAGACACCCTCTTGGTAATGAGCCACCACTCATGTTGTGGTTACTAAGTGCCAGGCATTGCGCTAAGTATTAGCACTTTACACATATTTCAGTTAATGTTCACAGGAACCCTATTTGGTAGGGTCACTGCTTGGGACCCTATTAGTCCCATTTTACAGGTAAGAAAACTGAGTCTTAGAGAGGTTACACTACTTAGGTAAGTCACATAGCCAGTATGTTGTGGAACAAGGATCTGACGCTGGGCCTGTTAGAGCCAGTGCCCATCTTTCACCCACTTCACCAAATCCAAAGGTGGATTTGGCCGAGAAGAGGATACTCTGTGGACTGATGTGTGCAAACATGGTGGGCAGAGGAGCTTGGCATTTATGAAGGTGTGCAGCCCAGCTACACCTGTGTGGTTCGCACACAGTTAGTGCAGGCCCTGGGCATCTGCTGAACATCCTGTATGGAGTAGCTGCTCTGGGAGGTGAGCCCGAGGGGGAGCCGAGCACACCCTGGTCCTGCCTCATGCAGCCTGCTCCCAGCACAGGTGAGGTGACCACACAGAAGCGGGCGCTAGAGGCCAGGCTGGAGGAGGCACTGTGCGGAGGTCATGCTGAGGCAGATAGGAGCTCAGCAGGGAGAGA